ATTCACAAAGCTAAGATAATAGCATATGTAACAAATCAAGTAAGAATCAGGCCCTGGTTTTCACTTAAAACCAGTGCTCAGAGAAGTACAATTGATAAATTAAATAATCTATTTAAATTTAAAGAGTTGAAGATACTAAGAGGAGACTTAACCTACCTCCATGCCCAGACATTTCCAAACCATAGTTGGTTATTAAAAACAAAGGAACCACCACTATTTTCTACAAGTTACCTGTCACCAACTTAGACAGACGACAGCAGTTGTTTTAAATCACACTGCATGCTATATTGGTGATACTTTCTCTTGTAAAGAAGTCATTAAAATTTGGGCTAGAGGAGACGCTTTCCCATCTGGGAGCTGAATCTGGTTTTGTGTGACTATTCCTGTCGTTTAATTTAGCAGTATAAAGTATAACTGTACATTCTTAGCATACTTACTGGGGATGCTGGCATCTCTGTAACCACAACTGCTTTCAGAAAGGGGAGAAATAAAAAGAGTGGGCAATTCACAGTGCACTAGAAAAACGAAGGGCAATTCAGTGTTTTAAGTATCATCTATCAAGTGTTGAATACTCAAAAGGGAAATAAATTTAAATATACTGCCAAGGCACAGTGCTGTGGTAACTGTCTCTGATTTTCCTTTTTAACACAGTTAAAAAAAATCCCAGATGCTCGTCTCATTCACAGATGAATGAATCAATCCTTCTGCTTCCTCATGCATGTGTCCACCTCGGCCAGCACAGAGCTGGGCCAGAAAAGGTATAGGTAAAAGGGAAAACACCAGGACACTGAGCAGCACTGTGAATCATAGGGAGCTGCTTTGTCTGCAGCTTCCGTTCTCAGAGGAGCTGTGCAGGGCTGAAACAATGGCTGTCCTATGGAGCTGCGTCTCATCTACCTCATCTACAGCCAGTGATGGATGATGGGTCAAGAGGGCAGCAGACTTTGGGTGCACAACCCTTAAATACTTTATCAACGATGGCAAAAGGCCATGTACTACAATAACACAGCAAATACTTCCTTTTGCTGTAGAGCAGACAAATTCCTTCCTCTCTGCTGGCTAAATCTGAAGCTTTTGGTTCATGGCTCAGAGTGTGTGCAACTTCTATATTCGCAGAACATACATGTAAAAAAGCTGCAGTTTTATTCCTGAGACTGTTCAATTGTAAACATTCTCACAGAAATGAAAAGTCAGCCTATCTGTGCTGAAATCCTATGCAGTCATAAATATGCAATTATAGGGATTTATGGGGTTTATAGACAATAAAAGAAGGAACATTTCACCATTTTGAAAAATGAAACTGCATACTAAGAATTGGTAAAAGTTGTAAAAGTGTGTAACTCATCCCAACTTTTCATACTGAAAGAATTTCCTGAAAGAAAACCATATCAACTTGATAGAAGTGAAAAGTGCCATAAAAAAAAAATGGGAATCTTGTCCCTGGTTTAAATGAAGTTTAATAAAAGTAATAGGTCCTGTGATACAGCAAGCTACGTTAATACTAACAGCTTAACAGTACTGTTGTGCTACCCAGCAAATTATCATTTAACAAGACACATAAGATGTCTTGCTAGATGATGAGTTGAAATGCCTTCATGCCATCGAAGTATCTTTATACAAAATAAAACTGAAGTAACATTTAAAATGTTCTGAAGTAAGACATCTTACTTTATAACAGTTGTCAAAGGTTTGTCCCAGTTTAGAGCAGAGGTAAAGTATTTTGGAACCTTCTGCCATTTAAATGTTCTTCCAACCAGTTTGGTCTTCTATTCCTCCTTAGCTGTTTCTCTCTCTGTTTAGCTCCTTAGGTATCTTTAAAACTTGACCTAACTCCTCTGAATTTCACAATAGATCTTAATGCTCCAGCATTAAGCAGAAAGCTGTGGCCTCATGTTTGGTTTCTCATAGCAGCCTTCTACTATATGAAGGGGGCCTACAAGGATGCTGGAGAGGGACAACTCTTCAGGGACTGTAGTGATAGGACAAGAGGCAACAGGTTCAAACTTCAACAGGGGAGATTTAGGCTAGATATAAGGAAGAAATTGTTTACTGTGAGAGTGGTAAGACACTGGCACAGGCTGCCCAAGAAAGCTGTGAATGCTACATCCCTGACAATGTTCAAGGGCAGGGTGGACAGGACCTTGATCAACCTGGTCTAGTGGAAGGTGCCCTTGCCCATGGGAGGGGGGTTAGAACTAGATGATCTTAAGGTCCTTTCCAACTCTAACTGTTCTATGATTCTATGATTCTCAAGCCAAGGGCAGAAAGGAATCAAAGGGTTCCCCAAAGAAACCTCCAAATCATCTGTTACCATTTCAGCTCCCTTACCAGCTGACTAGAGCATCAGCAACAGAAGATAACCACATAGCTGCCCACCCACATGGCCCCAGAAGCAGAGGTGATGGTATAATAATGGGATCACTGATTTATGGCAACAACCTAATACTGGCTCATTAACTTTCCCATTTTGGAGACTCTGAGAAATCTGTTCCCATCAAAGCGCTGAAGTGACTGGGGTGGGTTTTCCAGCAGTGCAGAGCAGGGAGTGAGGCAGCAAACCTGTGCCGTCCCACCACGCACCTTGCAGTGACATGGGAAACCTGCACCTTCCTCTGGGTGCATTAAGGCAGAAGAAATGTGCAATTTCCTCCCAAAGATCTTACCATATTTTACTCTACAGCAATGGATGTGCATAATTTCAATCAAATGATGTATTACCAATCTCACCATAGGCTTTGAACTTAAATGCTTCAGAACTGAGCAAAACAAATGGTGTTCTTGTTTAGAAAATGGAAGGTGTTGGGGTGAAGGTATCTCAACTTTCTGACACCCCAATTAAAAGCAGGCCTGTCGTGTCTAATCCAACGAAGTCTGAATTTCAGATTAATCATAGAATCTTTTAGGTTGGAAAAGACCCTTAAGGTTGTAAAGTCCAATCATTAACCCAGCACTTCAAAATCCATGCCCCTAAGTGCCATATCTACACTTCTTTCAAATACGGCCGGGGTGGTGACTCAACCACTTTCCTGCGCAGACTGTTCCAGTGCTTGACATTAAAAAAATCAAAGTAAGTTATTTTAATGAATAGCTACAATGTGTACTGAAAAGCTGCTAAAGCAACAAAAAACTTTTGCACAGGCTCTGTCAGCCAGAAAGTAAATCTGCACATAGGTGCAATCGGCACTCACCCTCTGAGTATTTTCATTCCTTTTTCAGAGTGTGAAGTTAAGATTGACACCAAAATGCATTGTATTGTTAATGTGTTTTCCATGTGAAAGGACAGGCACTTGAGAGCCACAGCGATGTCCCACAGAAAAACATTTGGAATATAACTTTTCTGGTACACCCACCTGGGCCAGCATTCTGCTCCCTTTTATTCATCCAGGTAAGGGGAAGCTGACAGCCGGGGGAGGGAAGAGATTGGGAGCCATATGGAGCTAGAGTCAATTTTCAGTATGTATTTGTGAATAGACACAAAAGAGATAAATGCTGGCATGCATAAATTCATATTTTATCAATATCTATTCTGGTACTTACTGTCAGAGTAATTTATTCAAAAAAGGCTTTTAAAGGCAAACACCAGTTTAAAGAAAAGCCCAAATCCTTAAAGAGACACCTTCCAACCCTGACTTATTCCTTGCCACAACAAGTCCACGATCCTGACGTCATGAAGCAGGAGGCAGAAGCTCACTCACAGAGTTTACCTCCCAAACCTAAAAGGGAAACTGGTGCAAATAACCAAGAACCCAGGAGTGAGTTTTTCCAGGTCACTGACAAAACAAGTGCCCCAGAAGCAGGAGTGGGCCACCAGCCCAGTGCACAGAAGCTCTGAGGGTCCACGTCCGAGTTGCTCATGCAGAGGGCAAGTGCAGCTGACAATATCTCATGACAAAAGCTATCAAAATGAGAAGGATTCACTAGTTTTGCTGCCTGTAGTCACTGCACCTATGAATGTTCAGTTTCACTTCTCAGACTTATTCAAATTATCCAGCCCTTATGGGTCTGCGAACCTGAGGGGCAAGTCTTAGTGTGGAAGGGATTTATTAAAGACTTTTGGTGCATCTGACCATGACAAAATGCTAAAATAAATAAGTAATAGAATCACAGAATCATAGAATGGTTTGGGTTGAAAAGGACCTTAAGATCATCTAGTTTTAACCCCCCTACCATGAGGGGAACATCTTTCACTAGACCAGGTTGCCCAGAGCAACATGAACATTGCCAGGGATGAAGCTTTTACCACTCCTTTGGGCAACCTGCTCCAGTGCTTCACCACCATCATCACCTTTACTTCATCACAGTAAAGAACTTCCTTATATCTAACCTGAACTTCCCCTGTTGAAGTTTTAACCCATCACCCCTTGTCCTATCACTACAGTCCCTAATGAAGAGTCCCTCCCCGGCATCCCTGTAGCCCCCCTTCAGATACTGGAAGGCTGCTATGAGGTCTCCACGCAGCCTTCTCTTCTCCAGGCTGAACAGCCCCAACTTTCTCAGCCTGTCTTCATACGGGAGGTGCTCCAGTCCCCTGATCATCCTCATGGCCCTCCTCTGGTCCTTCTTATGTTGAGGACACTAGAACTGCACACAGTACTCCAAGCGGGGTCTCACAAGAAACACACCGAACATTTCTGCACCCCAGATTATGTTCGGCCTGGATCCAGCAGACACGTTGGAGTTCCACTGACTGTCTATCATGGATTTTTATCTCTTCCTACAATGCAACAAGAGCAGGACAGTGGAGGAAAAGTATCTGAGATTTACTTATTCCATTAGTCAGAAACTGAAAATTAAAAGAGCCACTTCAAATGCTAACAGAATGCAAAAACTCATCACTTCCTTCCTGAGGAGGGCGTTTGTACATATTGATCAGAACACGTGCTGTGGCAGAAAACTTCTGGACTCTATTCATGGCTCTAAGTAGCTCTGAATCTGGACATGGGGCAAATGGTTTCAATTTTCTATGCTTTTTCAAAATAGTAATAAAAACACATACCCACCTCACAGAACAGAGGCTTCATCAAAGTTTCTACCTCACTCTCAGCTTCTTAAGTAGACAGTCCTGCAAAAGTGCAGAGTACCATGATTTAGATTTTAGTTCCTTAAAAAAAAAATAATTCGATTTCTTGGGGTTTTTTTTTGTCATGTAGGAACAATTGTGGATGCAAAGTCAGCATCTTTACCTGAAGGCTGGCCTCAGGCTCGGGCCTCACATCATGTTCCTACATCTTACACAATACATACACTGAGTCTACGAACAGGTCAGTAGGACACAAGCCAAGCAATGCACACCTAAATATGAATGCAGAACAAACAAAAAAAAATGGGTATTTTTAAGATCAAAACTTTCTTAACAACCTCATCTCTTTCCGGTCACACAGCCTGGGTGCAACATGTAAGAAACAGCTTCCTGAGACACTGTGGTGTTTTCTGAATCACTGCCATTACCCAAGAAAACCCCAGGAAGTGGTTTGGATGAGAAGCTGGACCTGGCTTGCATAGGTATCAGCTGATGTCAGAGTACACACAGCACAAAGCCCTAACAATACAGACATTGTGAAACCAGGAATAACCTTCTCTTATCTCCTGCAGTTTGGGAAACCATTTCTAACCCGGTGACTACACAGCTTAGGAACAAGTCAAACAGTTAATTATTCACTGTGTGCTTCATAATTAATCTCAGTTTCAGGCCAAATTTTTGCATGCCCATAATAACATGAAGATCTTCAGCGAGGGAAACAACAGCATGAGCTTTTGGACCTCCTTCTGCACAGCAATTCATTTTTCCATAAACAGTTACTATTAAGCAAGGACAAAGCAACAAACCAGACAGCCATCTGTGTAAACCAATTTAAAAGAATGGTGACCTCACAAGATTTTTCAAACTAACACTCTCCATTTAACTTCTGCCACCCCATCCTGCCCCAGCAGACACTGGGTTCGCGCAGGTCCTTGGGCGAGCGCAGTGCTTCCTCTTTAGGGAAAGCTGGTACTTTAAAGCCGCAGCAATTTCAAACCTGTGAAAAGAGCATGTCAGTGAAAATACCTCGGCATATATGGAAGCAGGCCAACCTACACGGCAACCCACGCACCCCAGAGCGTGTTGCCACAAAGGTCTGTGCTACATTTGCCAGCTGAGCTTCCTAGAGGTATGAGGTCAAGTGAGCACAAAGGTTCAGGCCACCGACGATAACATAAGCTCTGCTGAAGTGTGCTCTTTCTTATGACCCGGAACGAAGCCAGCAAAAGCACAGATGGCAACCACATCATAAAGGAAGACAAACCTGACAGCCTCAGAGCAAAACTCACAAATCCACATATAGCACACCTATCCTGTACATACACGAGATGGCCACAGCATCTACAGAGCCTTCTGCCTCTTTAGACTTGAGTCTAACAAAGCTTCAGGTAAAACATGCAAAATAAAATACCAAGTAGAACACCTACAAACAGGTGCGCGTAATAAACACCCAAGGCCATCTCCTGCACCAAGTCACTCGCAGAACTTCCCTTTAATCCATGTACTGAAGTCAGACAGAGCCACATAAGAACTGAGAGCAGGGTGTACTGGTGATACCAGGTCTTGCTAGTACAACGGAAGGAAGTATACAAACTCATTTACAAAGGCTCGTGGATTAAAAACACTTGAGTATCAAAAAAGGTAATTGAAAGAAATATTTCTTCCCTTCCCATTTCCAAGCATCAGAACAACATAACAGCATATTAACTTTATTTTAGTGGCAGAAGGAAGTGTTCACTTCTCCATTATATAAAGATGATGACTCTAAACCATATAGTGCAGACAGGGTAAAAATTACATCCTGGAACATCAAGGCTTGTCACATCGACTTTTTTTGTTTTTCTCTTTAGCCTGCATTTTCAAAGTCATTATTTTACTTTTCCCCTTCTGCAATGCCTGATATTTGTGTGCCTGATAGTTGTTTTTGCTTTAAAATAATGGCTATGAGGCAAAAGTAACTTGCCCTTCTGACCCAGCACATAATTGTACAACTGTTTGTCTAGTAATAACCCATCGTACACATAAAGTGACATTTCTCTAATTGGCATTTGCTGATCACAAGTGCACCCTCTGCAAACATAGTGGCTTTTTTACTGGCAACCTCTTTAATTATCTCACTCTTCCTAACATAAAATCTCCTTTCTATCATTAGAGAAGAACAAACCGCTCCTCACCACAACCACAGTAATACTATATATTTCGTATTACGTATGAGTGAATACTATTAAAGATCAGCCTTACAAGACAGAGTAGTATTAACAACTGTCCTGAGAATTTGTTACAGAAAAGGGAACTACTCTGACCTTTAAGTTCACGTTTCAGTAGTGCCTTTTTGATACACTTCAGAACAAAAGTTCAAGCTGCATCTCACTTCAGTTTGTGACATCTCGTTGCATGTAAAAGTGAGGGCAGAAATTCCAAGAGAAGCCCAGCTGGTCCTGCTTATCCTTGCCTTCAGCTTTGCCGTGTCAACTGATGCTGGCGTATGCAGTGTATTTCTCTGCTTTCTTTCTTTTTGTCTTTCTTGGTCAATGCTTCAAATTCCTACCCAGCCACCTCCAATAGCTCTCCTGTTGGCTGCCATGTTATGTAAAAACTCGTAACTGGCTCAGGAAACATTTAAATCTGCACTGTCTTGGCACACAGCTAATCCTTGAAGCAAACGCTGCTTACACAGTGGAGTGCTCACATTTCCTAGCCTGCTGTGGAGATGTCGTGCCTCATCTCGTGAGGCTGGAAAGAATGCACACCGCTTCGTGTCATACCTCTGACTTTCTGTTTCTGCCATATAAGCATCTTGTTATCAGTTTTTATAGGGAGGGAAAATGGGAAAGGGAATTCCTGGAAGAGATTACAATTGTCAAACAAGCTTTTGATATCTTTTAAACAACTGAAGCATTAATTTTTTGGCGGCGCTGTCAAAAGTCTATGAGGTCTTCCTGGCTGCAGTGGAAGAAATAGTACATTTAGTTCAACTACAAGCTGTACTTTTTAAAAAATCCGTATGAAAACAGACCCATTATTCATTTTTCTTTTAATATGTGGTTTTGTCCTGCAGTTTCAATAATATTTTTTGTAAGCCTTTGCATTCTCAAGAAAGAACTGCAACTTAGAGCTAATGCTTTAATAAACTCTTGTTTATATTATAGTCAAACCAGAATAAACAAAATAAAGCTACAAATGACATTTTTATAGGAAGCCAAGAAAAAGATTCATGTGTCTGAATATTTTAGTTACAGTATGGTAGGCATGACTATTATTTCCTGTGAAGCCAAACTGTAGCTTTAACGAGCTGGCTTCTCTGGCTACTCTGATATGACTCAGGCCGCTGAAGAGTACCTGGATATAAATACCATACAATTTTAATGCAAAACTCTCATCAAGTATTCTGGGGATTTTACAATGGGGTAAGGGCAAGATATAGCCATGAAAAATATGTTTAGCATCTTCAAAATACCACCATGTTGGATTTCTGCAAAATGCCTCCCTTTACGGTAAAACGCGCCAAAAATTTTCAGGAAGATTTCAGGCAAAAAAATGACCTTTTTAAAAAGTGATCATAGAATCCCAGAAATTAGATTTAAAAGGAAATGGCCAAAGTCTATTAGATCATCTCATACCCAAATAAGAAAAATCTATGTAGTGTATTCTACAGTGTTTTTCCCAGGTCACTCTTGAGTCACTCAAACTCACCAGCTCTTCTGGTTTTCCATCAGGAGAACAGACCTTCACTGGAACAAGGCTTTTTCTTCCTGGCAGTTAACCTCATACTCCTTTTGCTCATTTGCACTATTTTACTCATTTACACCTCTTTGAGACTGCTATTCCCTTCTCGGTGATCTTGGCTTTGATGCTTTCAACACTGTGATATCTAATTTGATAGCAAACAAGGTAGAAAATGCTAAACTAAAAAGAGCAACTGACCTTCTGACTTGCAACCTTGCTTCCTCTGTAACCAGCAGCAGCTTTATGGTGGAATGAGACCTGAGCTCCTGGTCAAGAGTCAAAGGGTGAAAAATCACCACCATTCACATTTAAAGACATGCTGTATTTCATCAGCACATAGCCCTGAGCCTTATGGAGGATGGAGATGTACTAGCAAAGCAATCTCAAAGGTTCCTCTTCTCTTTATTCAATGTGATGCTCAATGATTCGGTTACATTAAGAAAATTTGGTTACTATTACCTCTCCCTGCCAATTAGGGAAAGGGGGTTTAAAGAGTTTTGTGTCTCCTAGTTGTCATAACCTCATTTCTTTCTCATTCCCAAATTACAGACTTTCAGATTAGGATTCCTGCTGGCCATTTTATATGTAAATGCAATTCCCTGGAGGAGGAGGGAAGGAGTTTCACACTGCAGATTGACATGCTAGCTCTCACGCAAGGGACAGCAGATGTCAGAACCTCACAGAATGACTTTATATCTCCTCTGTCCCCGAATAAAGACGGTCATAGGCAGCATGCAAAGCAACCCCCAAAAGTACATTCACTTCACTGCCTACAAGTATAAAAAAGTGTACAAGAAGGAAAGTGGCAGAGTCCATCCTTGAGAATGATGGAATAAGTTTGTGAAATCAAAATGACTACCTGGTAAGACATCAAATTTTTCAACTTAGTTGTTATTATTTCTAACCAACAGGGTAGCAACTGGCAATTGTGCTTGAGAAAAAGAAAGGCTGGATGAGTTCCTGAAAAACTCCTCAATGCTAAAGGCCTGCCTGAAGAGGGACAAAGTCACAACATGAAACTACAGATGCCTGGCAAACTCAGCAATCTTGAGTTGGTGCCTTGTACTGCACTCATGTTATTAGCTATTGCACTATCATGTAAATCCTTCATGACAGTGATATTTTTAAAGTACCACTGTACTGTCAGGTGTCCTGACATTATCGAGGCTCCCAGGGATACCAGCCTGTGGCATTTCTTTCTCACCTCCTTTACGCAAAGTTTCCAAGTCAACCTGAACACCCCGTGAAGGGCCAGAATCTGACTCCGGAAAGTTTTAACCTCTGTTGGAAGTGACCTTCTTCCCTCACTGTCTCTTTGGGGTACAAGGCCTCTTTCATGGAATCCTTACCCAGGATAACCCTGTCCTTTACCCTCTCCTATCTCAGGATTCACGTACAGCTTTGCATCTGAAAATAGGAGGCTGGTAGGGAGCGCTCGTGGCTGTGAGCAGATGGACAGGGAGTCTGCACTGAGTCACTGGCAGCACACCACTTGTTGAGCTGTTTGAGATCCTGCAGGAAAAATGCTCACTTTGTGGCACTGAAGAGAAAAACTGCCAAGAGCAAAAATCCCTACAGGAATTACCTCACTGTGTATACACTGGAAACAAAACAGGAGACAAAGAAAAGACTTTGCCACAGTGCACAGGAGTTGGTGCCAGTCCACTGACATAAAGAAGATTTCTTCCTATCTGCTAAAGTATAGCGGCTCCACCTGCAATATATGCTTTCTCTCTTCTTCCCCATGTGCAAACAAATGGGTGGATTCCTTTCAAACTAGCCCCATGCCAGGGTAACATTTACAAATCTATTAACTTACTGACAGCCTGGTCCTGGACCCCCAACAGTCTCATGAAAGTCACCGACTGTTTACAGGAACGGCTGAGCTGATGAGCAAAGGTTTCAGGACCAAGGTCATCAGGCCCAGAGTATGCAGGATGAGCCAAAGTGTTATCTGACCCCATTCATTCACGTTATTGCACACATTAGCATCAAAAGGGTAGAAGGCTCTTCATTTATCCTATCAATTAAAAAAATTAAATAAACAAAATTGAAATACCAGTATCTTTTTTTTTCACTTTTCCAACTTTTTTCATGCTGTATTTTCCTTCTACTATTTCCCAGAATCATATAGCCATAAAATCATTCAAGTCGGAAAAGACCTTAAAGATCATTGCATCCAACTGTTAACCTAACTCTGCCAAGCACACCAGTAAACCAGATCCCTAAATGCCATTTCAGTGCATTGCTTTTCTTCCTCTTTGCTTTTGATTCCTCCGCTCACTACAAACACCAACAACACTTATGAGTAACTCCTTATTCTTCCCTGCAGCAAAATAATGTCTAAATGAGGCAATGGCTAACCCGTATTTCCTTCACAATACCCAGACAAACAAAACCCAAAACAAACCAATTAAACTATCCAAGCCATTCCTCACTCAGTCTGACCAAAATTGGAGTTTCCTAGTATCTAGGAACTGGCACAATAATTTCAATGGGATTTTGTGGAAACACAAAGATCACCTTCAGGGGTCAACTATTTAGGACTATAATACGATGATTTTGAACTAACACAGTGAAAAGATACCATATGGCCTGAAGTACTGAAATCACTCCTTTGCCTCACATTTCAGAATACTTTTACAACTTTTATACAGTTCCTGGTGGCAATATATCTCTAGTTGTGTTAACGATTTGTTAATGGCTGAGCAGCACTGGCTGCTCCATACAGTCACTCTTCAAACAAAATGGTGCCCTCAGAAGGGATGTCCATGAGCAGGGTGAGCTATGCATTACCTTTGCTGCTCTTCCCATCCCACGCCACATCATTCTTTTCAAGAGAATTCAAGCACTGAGAGTACTTCGACAAAATGATACCAAACTGTTAAATACCAGTAATATTGTTATGACCCTCAACAAATATCTGACACTACAGCTGCCGTACAGAGCACACACTAATAGCTTTAACAGGCAGCAGAGAAATAAACTGTATTTAATCTTAAAAAAAAATTCAGAATGAAGCCCCTGATATTCCCATGTCAGATTCAGTCTCCGTTTCCGCCTCCCAAGCATGGTAATTACAGTCCTGTGCCCACTGGGAACTAGTAGCACACTGAAACACCAACACACTTCGCTGGAGGAGGGAGAGGTTTGCTGGTGTAGATATTACAAGATGCAGCAGCAGATGCTTTGACTTACAGGGATCTCTTGCTCACAGCATCTTATTGTTTTAACTTTCAAGATGAAATACCTGGTTAGCCATTGTCCAGGGAGACAGACAAGATTTTAAAGTTGGCCACCGAACAGGCGAAGGCTCTTCTGGAAAAACAAGGCTTTAACCACAGCAGTCATCATTCCTCAATGCAAGCTGTGCAAGCAGAACTTGGTGCCTGCACTTAGGCACTGAAGTGAATAGAGCACAGGCACATGGACCCAGGCATCCACCTGGCGTGACTTCACTGCAGGGTCAGCACCTAAATTAGTTTGTCCCCAGTATGACACCTCTGTCACAGCACACAGGGAGGTACCTACACACACAGCCACATGTCAGTTTGGACTTTATCCCTCGCCCTCGCAGACAGCCCCAGTGCCAAGCATCAGGAAATAGCAGACAACTTGCCAACACATTTTCCTAGCAAATGACAACCCTTTCTGAAATGTTTTGAAAGCCTGACATAGTCTTTCTGGAAGGCTGGTGATGCTGTGCTCTTGCACAAAAACAGTAAATGAAAGCTACCCTAAAATACTATCACTACTCTGAAATACAATCCCCTTAAAACTGGGGGCAAATGAGGTCAATGTTAGCCAAAATAGGCATCATGATTCCTAGAAACCTATGGCAACTAATATATACAGCAACATTAGCCAGTTAGCAAGTTTAACATTTTCTAAGCACAGTAGCCTGAAATTCACTGAATTTTGATGCAGATTATTCTAGATTCATAAAGCTTTTTGTGCTTACCTGTTTATAGATTTTGTATTATATAACCAGTTTGTGATGAATTGCAAAGTCTTACTGAAGTGACTGAAAACTAAAATAAAAATATAGAAGCAAAGCCAGAGTATACTTGTAAACCACAGCTCAACAAAAATCTTTTCATTCCCTCCTCTCCCTTGATATTCCAAGCCTATTTTTAATTACCACTTCTCTTCCAACTACTTCTATTGAATGCAATCCTTAACCAGCACTCAACTAGCCAGACAGCAGGTGAGGAAACTTGCTTCAGACCCAGTGCACATGTTGGACCAGGCACCTGTCTGCAAGGAATGTAAAGGTATACATAACCTGCATTGCTCAGAGCGAGGGCATCCGCACTATGACAGCACATGCATTGCTACTGAAGGCAGCTTTATGTAAGCACTGTGTCAACAAACGCACAGAGATGGGTTAACTGCCTCCTGCAGGAAGCCTGGTTTCATTCATTAACTGCGACCTCTGGGCTAGTACATGCGGAGGAGGAGAAACACAGGCAAGTTAAAACGAAGCTCCTGTTCTCCCTCTGAAAGTTTTCAAGTCTCAAAATCTTGCACAAAACCCAGTCTGCTGTCACCTGAGTGAAAAACAATAGTAGGCACTCATATAAGTAAGACCCGCATGAGAATTTGCAAGCCGAGCCCATGCAGAGGGCCACCTGCCAAGAGGAAGAAGTGGTGAGGAGGAATTTGGATCCAGCTGCTATCCTCCCTCAGCCAAACAATGCCGCACAATAAACAGCATTAAGGACTTTTTTTGATCATCAATCAAATCACACTGAGAGCATCCATGTCATTTTCACTCCCTGATTGCCAGAAGGGCTTAAGAGACTTTAAGTTTGCGTTCACAGAGAGCTGATCTGTTTCCTATCACAGCTGTACCAAAGCAACTGAGCCCAGGAGACATAGAAAGAATAGGGGGGGAAGACCAAGAAATGACAAAGTGCCTCGCTGTAGGGCTCATCACAGGTAGCACTCACAAAAATATCATAGCTGCCTTGAAGCCCCATTTCGCATGTTAGCTTCTGACAGAAAGACACAGTTAAAGGAGAAAGAGGGGATAACTTAGTATCTGCAGTACTTATTTTCATACTACAAAGTACTGAACACTAGGCAATGAACTATGACCACATGCTCAGTGGGTCACTGTGGCAGGTCAACTTAACCTTAAAACCGCGCAACCTACTGCACCTTCAGATTTAGCCCAGATAGCACCTGGGTTAAGCACCCTATCAGATCCACTCACTGACTATCGGCAGCAAAAAAAAGGGTTAAAAAAACAACCAGGCTGCAGCTGAAAATTCCACAGCACTTCCCTCCTCAGAGCTGCAAACTGCGCCTCCCTGGGACAACACAGACTGACAAACTGCCTTACAGATCAGCCACTCGCTGCCACCGGCAGACACGTACGGCTGGAGAGCTCGGGAGAGTTCATCAGAGCATCGCGGTCGCTCGGCATTGCTCCGGCGCAGCCGCTTCTCCAGACGCCGGGAAGCGTGCCGTAGGGCTACACGTCGGAGCCGGATTCACCGCCTTGCAGCCGAGGAACCCCCCTCTCCTTCCTCCCCGCCTCAGCCCCCGATGAACACTGAGTATCTCTGTACTACCTGCATTTATCAGCAGAAACATCCCGTGCCTTCAGTCATTCAAGGAATTTAACAGCCTGGAAATTCCTGTTGTCCATTATTTGAGGTCACAGATAAAAGCTAAACAGCAGCCGTGACTCCCATCAATCATAAGTCACTCACTGATAGAGTGTATGGTAGGAGACCTACTGATGTAAGCTAGTCACCAGAGAAAATACCCACTGATGACGCATATCCAGGCACAAAAATAGTTACAGGGCCCCCAAAGGGATTATTCAACAGCCTACATTTAGATATTCTTACAAGAGACCCGCAGTCAATTTGCTGCTATTAGACGGCTAGGGAACGTTGAAGTTTAAGTTCCTCAGCAGACATAACCACAAATAGCTAGTTTAAACAAGCTACTGCAATTACAAGCTGTTTTGTAAATTTTAATACTGCATTATAGGGATTAAGTCTAAACAGAACCACTGGCTATAAAATGCTGTATATATAGCCTTTGCTTTTACTATTTACCAATTCCTTCTGATTATTAGCCAGCAATGAAAGGAACAATTTAAAATTGATTCACAAATGTTCAAACTGAGTCCTTGGTGCCACCCAAGAGAAATGTTTGTTCTAAAAAAAATTATAAATATATGTGAAATGGTGTGGGATATTTCGGTGATGCTTCAACGCTGTCTGGATAAACTTCTTTGCAAAATAATTCTGGCTTCATTTTTACCCCTCTTGGCAATTGCCTCTTCACTACTAAAAAAAAACCCTGAATAGTTTCTCACATAAATCAAAACTATGTAAAAGCAAGTTATCAATGACATGCAAAACTATGTACCATATACCTACCTGCTTTGAGCAGGGGCTAGAAAGATGGCCCACAGAGACACCTTCTAGCCTAAACTGCTCCATGATTCTGTGCAATTGCATTTTTTTTTTTTTGGCATTAATATGAAGTTTAAACCAAAATCCCCTAAATTAACCAGTGAGCAGGTAATCTCGCTATACTGCCTCCTTCAACAGTTTCAGGAGCCTTTGCATGCCCTCCCAGCAACCAGACTTAGTAGGCTATAAGTGAGACAACTAAAACTGCTGATGGCAAAACACTGACTCTGCATTTTTGGTAATACTAAAATCTTAGATTTTTTTTAATTAACTGAGTTTAACCTCCAATCCCCCTTTTCAGAAGCTATTTTGGTGCTTAGGAGTCTAAAAGTTAATGACTTTCTAGTGCATATTTAAAATCTAAATATCGGAAAGTATTCTATGATTCCAATGCCTACTTCATTGACATACTTTTGGAAAGCATTACCTAGCCAAAAAAACACTCAAGGATTTATAGTGTTTACCCTGTAAAGCAGGAGAAAGAAATGTCCCAGACTACAAATATCCACCTCATTTTCTTCATCTGTGATAACATTATCAAAAATAACACCAAAATTATTTTTAGAACAACTGTTTTGCAAAGCCCTCACATTTCTCTCATGTATCTATATATGCTGGCAGTCCACATGGCCTAATTTAACAGCCTGAAGAAGAAATATTCATTGGTGCCCTCTAGCTGATTATCCCAACCAATTTGCTGCAGACACCTGGCACCAGCCTCTCTTTTCTTCTTCCGTCATTCCTGGATCTTTCACTGGTGCCTACTCAATGCAACGCCCTGGAATAAAACAATTTGCTTCCTACAGAAGATGTGGGAGTCAAAACATTCCAATCCCCATGTGCTCTCAACTGTAGGACCTCTTAGAATAACACAAGTGCCATGAAAAACAGGGGAGGTGTAAATGTGAGCAATACCACATCACCAAGAACCTGGGAAGTGCCTAAATACACTTCGTGGCAAGTTTGCAAATTCCATGGGAAAATACATGCAATATACAAAGCCCCTCACCTATTCAGAAATATCAGAATCCCCCCCACCCCACAACCACCTTTAAACCGCTTATAAGCCATGTATTATGTTTTGCCACACATTCTGAAATTCATGTAACATTAGTCAGTGATGGATCAGACGGTTTCACAACTTGCAGCCTGGGACCGCCCTTTTGCCATCACGGAAGACCTGAGCGGAATGAGCTTGCTTCTTTCACTCTGACATTCCTGCTCCACCCACTGTGCTCCTGTCCCCTCTCCCTCCAGCCCCTCTCCACAGAGGCTGTATTGGAAATGACTGAGGCACACAGCCCCATTACCACACCAGGGACATGCCTGGAGTACTGCTGCACCTTCAAATGTGTAAAAGCCATGAGGCAGAGACCACTACCACATACCCTGAACATCGCCTCTAGTGCGAGAGGCGAGGCCAACAAATTGGTGTCCAAGCAGAAGATCCCCCGTCTAGAGGGAAATCCCAGCTGAGGAAGAGCCACCCCAGGAGACGCTGTGCCTCTGGTGACCCCAGCACCAAGGGAGGAGCAAAACGAGGTGCTCCCGAGTGCAGGCTGCCAGGACAGCTCTTTGGCAACTGCACCAGTAGGTGCGCCTGCTCTGAGTCACTCCGGTGGGCACCGGCCACTCCAAGGACAGAGAGGTGGGGAGAACGTGTGGGAAGCAGGGTTAAGGCTCTGTTCTCTTCCTCCTTGCTCAGCTGCAGGAAGCACAGGCTGGCTGGAGCTGGCTGTCTCTGTGCATTTAGTCAAAGCCACAGAGAGAGGTCCACTGCACAGTATCAACCATTAATCAAAGTAAACACAGAAGGGAGACCATGATCTGAAGCTCAACATAAACAATGTGAGACTGATTAAATTTGAGGGCTGCATTTGTAATTCTTAAAAGGTCTGTTTATACCTTGACTGGGAAAAGGAAAGCTGCAGCATACACTCTTATTTCTGTGTCTGAATAGCAGCTGTAAAGCAGCAACTGCTCAAACACTTGGGAAGCTCCAGGCTCTTCCTGCAGTATGCAGCTGCGCTTGGGAAGTTAACTTCCCATATACCAGTTGCCTGTTGAAACAGAGAAAGAGTTAATAATCACAGTGGCCAGGCATTTGGAAGGGACCTGGGGATCCCTTTCTCTAGCACCTTACTAGAACATTTAGCTAACACTACTTTCACACATGCCGCCTGGGAAAGGACACAACAGGCTCAGTCAATACTCATCAAGGGGATGTAATCCAAATCTCTACATCATTAAAAGACCAAGGGGCTGGTTGAACAAGGAATAGTCAAAAGGAATACTTCCTGTAAAACAGGCATTTTACTCCATGTGGAAAGTGAAATTTTTGGCATAGTTCACTTTTCCTCTCTTTTTTTTTTTTTCCTTACAAGCAGCTGTCAGTTCTGTCAGTTCTCATACAAGAGCCCTAGCACAAGGCTGGTTTGGGCAACTGCTTCTGGAAGGAAACAGACTTTTCCAAAGCCTTTTTTCTTGAAACATAAAGGAACCCAGTAAACCCCTGTACAGAACAGGTACAGATGTGGGAATGTGACAGATGGGCCATGAAGGTGGTAAAATACTGAGTAAAAGGGGATGTGGAAAAATGAGGATCTGGTAGGAGGAGCAGCCTCTACTCTTCCCAGTGAAAATGTATTGCTTTTCAAAACAGAAAATAGAATGAAAACAGTAAATACAATGAAAACAGGACAGAAGAGGAATCTTGATGGTAACTAAATATACCCATCTAAATAAGTATAAAAGAGTGCAGAGATGTCCTGTCATAACAGAGCTTCATGATAGTTTTTAAAATGCCATATTTGAAGTAGGGAGCTGATAAATTATCTCTTACTGACCCAAGATATCTAGTCAAGAACATACACTATCGTAATGTAGGAATATTGTTTATGAAAAGTAAAGACACTATTGGTTTTCCAGACAGTAAGAGAACACCCCAAATTATCAAATTATATTTTTAAAGTTTCTACAACTTTGGAAACAAGGGGCAATATATTAGAAAAAGGTATGTGGCTCGCTGAGGACGGAACAGTATGGAACATTTAGTCACTGTGTCATACAACGTTAGATAAACCAGGACACTGATGTCAGAAACACAAAAATAGTCATGCTATTCTCATTCTGCCTGCACATCAGCCTCTTAGGGCTTTTCTCCCAATGCTAGCAATGGCAAAACAGGTAATATTGATTATAACTGAAAAGCAAAATTAAAATATTAGTAGAGGCTTCTAAGACTACATAACGATCTTTTTTCTGTTTGGAAGCAGGAACCTGCTACTTCCTTTTGCATGCAAACACACCCCTAAAGGAATCTAAGGTGAGTAACAAAGGGTGCTAGTGGTGGGAGTTATATTTTAGTTACTTAATGTAAAAAAAAAAGCTTCCTGAACGAGAAATAAGCATTTGATAGAAACAGCCTCTTCCACAACTGCAGCAAAAGGATCTGAGCTCTTCATTTTACTTTACTCAGTTTGAGTCTGTTAAATAACTAGCTCATTTACAGCTGAGTAAGTGTAAGTTGAAGAAAACATATATTCCTATTCCAATACATTAAAAATACTTTTGATATCTGTTACCAACATTTTAAAAAATACTTTTAGAATAATAGTAATCTCAGCAGTCTGTTTACATCCTATGTATGCCACTTGACTTGAAGGGATCAAATAAAGTTAACTATCAAAACATGACAGGTTTATTACATGTATTATTCTACACTTACTGCATTGGTGGATAACGGAAAATAAGCTGATGTCATCTACCTTGATTTCTATAAGGTCTTTAACACAACCTCACATGACATCCCTGTCTCTCTACACTGCAGAGATAGGGATCTGAGAGATGGACTATTCAATAGATAAGTAATTGGCTGGATGGCCATATCACAAGAGTTGCAGTCAACAGCTCACAGAATCACAGAATCATAGAATAATTAGGGTTGGAAAGGACCTTAAGATCATGTTGAAATGCAGATCATTATCCAGTGACCCCCCTCAGGGGTCCATACTGGGACTGATACTGTTCAATATCTTTCCTAAGTAATCCAGCTTCATCAGGGACTCAACTGAAATGCCTCTATGCAAACACATACAGCATGTGGAATAAACAAGAGAAATTAGAGACGTGCGCACACCTGCATGGCTATGTCTTATTGGCAACATGGAGACATGGTGGGACAGCTCCTATGACTGGAGTGTTGGAATCAAAGTATATAGGCCCTTCAGGAAGGACAGGCAGGGGAGACAAGGAAGGGGTATCACTCTCTATGTCAACTATCAGCTGGCATGTGCAGAAGTCTGCCTGGGGTTGGATGAGGATTCAACTGAGAGCTTATGGGTCAGGATTAAAAAAAGGGCAGGAACAGGTGACATTACAGTGGTCTGCTACAGGCCACTGAACCAAGAAGAGCTAGTTGATGAGGCCCTCTATATACAGATAGGTGCAGCCTCATAGGAAACTTCAACCACCCCCCCCGGTATCTGTTGGAGAGACAAGACAGCAGGGCACAAGCAATCCAGGAGGTTCCTGGAATGCACTGATGGTAACTTCCACCTCCAAGTGATAGACGAACCAATGAGGAGAGGGGCTATGCTGGACCCTGTCTTCACCAACAAGGAGGGGCTGGCAGAGAATGTGATGCTTGAGGGCAGCCTTGGCTTCAGTGACCACAAAACAGTGAAGTTCAAGGTCCTTAGGGCAGTGAGGAGTGCACACAGCAAACTTGCTACCCTGGTCTTCAGGAGAGCAGACTTGGGCCTCTTCAGGGATGTGCTTTGTAGAGTACCATGGGATAAAGACCTGGAGGGAAGAGGCACCCAAGAAAGCTTATCAGTATTCAAGGACCACCTCCTCCAAGCTCAGGTGTGGCATATCACACTCAGGAGCCAGCTCTAGAGTTTGTCTGTGTCCATGAGGAACCAGTCTAAGGTGCTAACCCAACAAAAACCCTCAGCCAGCCCAAGCAAGCTGCCAAACAAGCCTAGCATGGGCTCAGGCAGATGGCTGCAGAAAACAAGCCTAGCATGGGCTCAGGCAGATGGCTGCAGAGGACAGGTAGCAAGAGCAGCCCCTCCAGCACATGAAGCCAGAGCCAGGAGAGTGGGAAACCCTTCCTCAAACCCCAACCATCCACTCATTCCAAGCTTTGGCAGCACTGGAGGCAGAAAAGCCAACCTGTCAAAGTGGAGGGGTGTTTCAGACATTGCTGCCAACAGCTTCAGCAAGAACCATCAGGCAGCCAGCAGGATTGGAGAGGAAGTGCAGGTGGAGGAGCACGAAGGTCAAAACCACCCCATGCAAAGGAAAGAGCCCCACCTTAGCTGCTGGCAGCCTGCTTGCTGGCCCCCCCCGAAAGGGGAACTTGCCCCTGGAAGGTGAATTTAGCTCTGTGATGATTTGCTTATTCAGCAGTTCCAAAACCCAAAAAGTCCAATGTTTAAAAACTGCGCATTTCTGGTATATTTCAAAACCTTTGCCAATGTTCTTCCTTAACACCAAACTGCACAGCTTAAATCCCCGAGTGCTTTCCTTTTCCTCTTGCAAGACTGTTTTTCTTAATACTCAACAAACATGGAAAAAAAGCAAGGATTAAACTCAGACTGAATTCTTCAAAATCTGATTTATTGATAAAAGCACAATTACTAAATCACACTGCCTCACCTTAAAAAAAAACAACAAAAAAGCAATACTTAGAACAATATGGAATGTGGTAGAGACACTCCAGGGATTTCTCCTCACGTGACAGATTCATTGGTTATACTCAAATTCCTGTCTTTCTGGGACTCCCTCAAACCACAGCTATAACTGTTATCTCTGGAATATGTTAAACCAAGAAGAAAGCATTATGTTGCCTAGTTGGCATAAGAGGGGGACTTCTCTCTTCACTTTTATGGAATGCCTACTGAAATGAAAGTTTTTGGGTTGTTCATGCTTACGCACTTGTAAATTTGACTCTCCTCTTACTGACGTCTCCTTTCCTTATGAAAAGTTCGAAAGTTC